TTGAAATTCAAATTTTAATACCATCTCTATCTTATCAGACAAAATTTGTTTCATATCTGTTATTTCTTCAGTAACATTTTTTGAACATAATTATTTATAGAGGCAGATGTCATGACTGATGTTGTGGCTACTTAGTTTTGACTCCATTCTTCAAATGTCTCTGGTACTATTTTCAATGTTATAATGATTTGCATTATTTTGTAGGTTCCATTAATTAATACAAAATGTAGGCTAGTGTTTTTTCCCACTGCCTAGAATCTTTAACCCCCTCTAGTGTCTAATTTTTAAAATCATAACATTATTTATTTAGTTTTACTATGCTTTGCAAAAAAACAAAACATATTTGTTTTCTATAAAAAGCATTTGTTCTTTATAATTAATTTCAAAATCTTTTGGTAAAAAGTTTCTATATTCTAAATTTATCTAGTACCTTAATCTAGCAGGCCCCAACCTAACTAACAGGGGGGCAGGGGGAGAAGTGATTGTTACATGGAAGTGGCACAGGTGCATGCTTGTGTGCACAACTATATTTGCACAAGAAGAGGCACAAGGGACTATCACAAGTGCAAATGGAGTTTTGAGTGTGAGTGCCCGCTGCAAGTGCAAATTGAGCTTCGCATGCGAGCGCTCACCACTCACACAAGTGGAGCTGTGCAGACACTTGCCCGCCCTTTGCTTGGGCTGGTTCCAAATGGGATGTGGCCTAGTAATGGGCTGCAGCCTGAGGCTTGGGACCCCCGCCTTTCCATTTATAGCTTTCTAAAATCAAAATCTTATTTTTTTTTTATTATTTCAAATTCTTTAAATTCTTAAGCTTATGATTTTATTTCATTTAATATTGAAAGTATAAACTCACCTGGCATTTTCAAACTTCTTTTTTTGAACAGCTTAAAAACGGCAATTTAGTAATTCCTGAAAATGATTATAACGTTAGATTAGGGAACTTAGTGTCCTTTACAAGGCACCAATTGTGTTTGCAAGCAAGATTGTTATTTCCATCATATCCCCCAAGTTCCCCATCTGGTCGTTTCCTCATGAGGCAGAGCAATCAGGAGCATATGTGGATAATCTCCCATTCTCTCCTTGATGGAAAAGGTTCTGAACAGTCAGTCTATTCACAGGTTCTTTATTATTTGTTGAAGCTATCAGCTCCATTTTTGTGGAGATATCTTCAGCCCATCATTCCATCCCCCAAGAAGCCCCAGAGGAGGGAAAAATATTTTGAGGGAGCTGCTTATGCCCCTTAAAACTAGTAAGTAATTTTAGCTTTGTTGCAATCTTGTGAGAACATTAAGAGAGCAACTAGTCTCAGATGTGGTATACAGTATTTAATCTAAGTGCACCGTAGTAGCTCACTATCGCAACAGAAAAGTGAATCTCAAAATGTTTTAAAATCCACACTGCAAATAGGGTCTTAATTTTTTTAAAGCAGTAATGAAGCAATGTGCTTGACATAGTGTGGACTCAATTTCTGCTGTGATTTATCTCATTTGCATAATGATGTTATTCTGCAGATAAATTACAATATTTGCATTAATTTACAACCTTTGTTGTGACACTATCACACAAATGATATAAATCCTCACAATGCCCAATTCTCTGATTCAGTGGATTATCTCCAATAACAGACAGCTCATCCTCCTACCAGTGAGTTCATTCTGTGGATGTTCATTTTAGTTTTGAGAAACTCAGTCTCTTATTGCAAATATCAAGTTATTGCTGCTTTTAGATCATCTGAAATCCACTGCCTGGACCACCATCTGCCCCATGTTTGAAAGTAGTTTGCAAGAAGCCCCTCCCCCCCCCTCAACCACTCTGGACTTTCTTTTGGACTTTCCCAGAATTTGCACCTTTTAAGTAATTGCGCAACTTTCTTCTTTTCTTTTCTTTTCTTTTTCTTTTTCTTTTTTCTTTTTTTCTCTTCCTTTGTATGGGATATGCATGGGATACGCATGTGATTGAGCGAATGGTTCCACTTTTATTGACTTATCTGCTGTATTTTGTGTTTTAATTACCGTGTGGAGACTGCTTGGGTGAGTGAATGAGTATGAGTGCCTCGGAGGACCTGCTGGGGAACGCGGGGGTCATCGGGGTGGCTGGGGGGACCAGGGATACGGGAGTGGGTCGGAGCATAACGGTCACTACAGGGAGAGGCAGATACGGCGGGGACTTTAGGGCTGGCCATTACCGGGGAAGGAGGGTTTGCTATATTACAGAGATCCCTCCTTCCGGTCCTATGAGTCCCATTCCAAGGCCAGATGGCATGAGTAATCAGGACCCTGGTCTCCACGCCGCTGTTGCTAAATGCCAGGTCTGTTGTTCACAAGGCTCCCCTCGTCCGGGAC